CCTTCCCCCCCCCCCCCCAAAAAAAAAAAGAAACAGGCTGATTAGAAATAATTGTCTTTTTATTTCAAGAGCTGGGCACTCTGAACCATTTTCTATTAAGCAGTTCAAAAGATGCATTTACAGAAAAGTTTTCTTTTGATAAATAATATACTATAAATTAATGTCACACCTAATATTCAACTGTCAATATTGAGTGGGTGATACAAAAAGAAATTTTTCTTAAATGGAACATTGAAGAATGATATTATAACTAAATTGCTGTGAAAGTAGTCACTTTTCAAATTTTTTTACATATTGCTCTTCACACTGAATTGGAGCATTTTATTATCAGTCTCTATCTTAATCTATTTTTGACTGTTTTTTTTTCTTTGCTTACTTCCAAGTCTTTCTGATTGCAATCATTTTGCAACCATTCTTTACAAAATTGCTTTAAAACTTTCTTTTCTCCCCTGAGAATTCTAACCAAAACTGCGTTTGAATTTAAATTTCTCAGGCTTTCAGAGAACATGAACAATCTATTTTCCTTCATATTTCTTAATTCCAAGTTCAATTAATACCTGGCTTTACAACTCTAAGAATTTCAGTTACAAATTTTATGAAACCAGTTAATATATAAGATTTTTCTTATTCAGTTGAAGATTTTTCGTGATTTTTTTTATTACAGTGCCATGTTTTAGATCCATAGAGAACAAATTTTGGATTTGTATTCAAAATTTTAATTTTCACTGAAGTTGTAATCTTTTTATATTTCCAGAATTTTGTCAAAAAATAGCATAAATCTGAACAAAGAGTAATGCTTTAAGTGCTATGCTAGCTAATTCCTTAACTGCAGTATCTGTTCCATTTGTTAATTCATTCAGAATAAAACATTGGAAAACCTGCATTTGAATAAGACCATACTGAATATCTCTGTAGTTAGATCCTGTACATCAGTGGTCCCCAACCCCTGGTCCGCGGACCGGCACCGGTCCGTGGATCAAATGGTACCGGGCCGCCCATTTCATTGAAACTGAATTTAAATTCCTAGGTTTATACCCCAAATTAAAAATATCTGTGTTCCATTAAAATTTTATTTATTTAAATAAAAGATGCCCCTGAAGGTAATAACATAAATTTTTTAATGTTTTAAAAAGTAAAAAAAAAAGAAATCTTCTGCAACTATTTTCTCATTCAATTAGTTTTAATAAAATAAAAAAAAACAATCATCGTAACTGTAAATATCATAAATAAAAAACGAAAGCGCAACGCGACATTTGCATTGGAACTAATAAAGAACTTCGTCTTCTCTCTCGATTCTGACGCCTCACACAGCGAGAGTGTATAGTAAGGCTATAAAAGAGAAGCTGGCTAGTCTGCCATTTAGTCGCCCAAAGACCACGTGACCATGATTCCTCTCTACTGTTTTGTGTGCTTTATGCGGTTTTGTTTGTTTTTTGTAAAAAGAAAGTGTCTACCACTCCTCTCTTTGTTCACCGGTACTTTCTCAGGTTTAGCAGCGCTTGGTGTACGCGTGTATTGTGTCTGCACAAATTTAACTCACAAGTTAGCAAACATGAATACAAAACAGACGTCCTTGGAAAAAAGAAAAGGCTCAGTGAAGAGACCGAAGAGCCTTCAACATCAAAGAAACATGGAACTTTTAACAGACAATACTATAAGTCCTACTTGAAGTATGGTTTTGTCGGGACAGGCGATTCACACAAACCAAAACCGCTCTGCATAGTTTGCGGCGATCAACTCTCTAATGACGCAATGAAACCTTCAAAACTGCTTCGCCACTTGAACGCCAAGCACCCTGGATTAAAAGACAAGTCCCTGGAGTATTTTGAAGGGGAAAAAACGGGAACACGAAGGACAGAAAAAATTTATGATGGCCACCACATCAATAAAGGAGAGTGCACTAAGAGCATCATATTTGGTGGCTAACTGCATTGCTAAAGCTAAAAAGCCATTCAATATTGGTGAAGAATTAATCTTGCCCGCCACTAAAGACATTTGCCGTGAAATACTAGGAGAAGCTGCTGTGGAAAAGACAGCACATGTGCCTTTGTCGGCTAGCACTGTGACTAGGTGCATTAAGGAAATAGCCGAAGACATTGAGAAGCAATTGTTGGAGAGGATTAATGCATCACCGTGGTACGCACTCCAGGTTGACGAATCAACAGATATTGACAGCAAGGCAATAATACTTGTTTATGTGCGATATCTATATCAG